GTTTAAGAAATTTTTCCCTTTCCTGAGACTATTTTCTTCTAAAAGTTTTAAAGTTTTGCTTTCACATTTAAGTCTTTGTTCCATTTGGAATTAATCTTTGTGTATGTGTGAAATAGAAGCCCTTTTTTTTTCCCCCAAGAGTCATCGACCCAGCATGGTTTATGGCCTAATCCTTTCTTTCCTTAATGATCGTACTACCATTTTTGTTATACATCAAGGTTCCATATATGTGTGGGTGTTTTTGGACTCTTATTTTGAGAAAAATAAAACATCTATTTCATACTGTCTTATTTACATATGCTTCATAAGTCTTTTTTTGTTTGTTTCAAATGTCTTGATGTCTGAAAGAACAGAAATTCTACTTTACTCACCACACAAAAAGATATTCCCTATAAGATTCTAAGCTTTAAACAAGGAAAATAAAAAAAAAAAAAAGATTCTAACCTTTTTGAAGGCAAGAACCATAGCTTACTCTTCTTTATTATTTTGTCCACAAAACCTAACACATAAGCATACAGATAGTATGGATGCAAAATATGGTAAACTGAATTAAAAAGAAAATCCTTAACCTTTCCTTCACAGAGCTGGAAGTCACACAATTTAATATTTTAATAATTACCACTGAAATTTCAAACCATGATTCAACTATTCCCTGATCTACTTATGTATGGCACATACAAAATAAGCAGATATTCAAAAGAAAAAGGTCATATTTCAACATGACAGAAAAGTGGTTTTAAACTGTTCCTTAAGAGTAAAGGAAATGCTTTTTATGGAGAGAGGGCAAGGAAAATGCCTGACCCAGCAATCTTGCCTCTTAAGACTTTATACTGCAAATATAATGTCCAAAGATGTTCCCCACAGCACTATTTATAAGTATAAAAATATGAGTCCCTACTAAATGTCAAATAATAGAACAATGTATCCAGAAATGGTTATATCGAAAAATAAAAATACCATGTACTTCTAAGGAAATATAAACTGGCACAACATTTCTGGATGGCCAACTGACAATACTGATCAAAATCCTTAAAAACTGCAATGGCCTTTGATCCAATAACAGCACTTTTAACAAGGTATTCTTAGAACTAAGGATGTGAGAAAAGACAGATACAGAGACATTCACTCTGGCTCTCTGAAATAGCAAAACATGCTTTTACAATCTACAGTTAACCAAATAATGGGAAATACAATCCATCATAAAAAATGTTAAAAGGGGCAGATAGTCACTCTAAATTAAGGATAAAAAGCAAACAGAGTAGAGTCAGTACAATCCCATTTTCGTAACTAGTAAATCACTACAGAGTACAAAGAAGTATGTATATAAAAGTACATATATAGTAAAACCTGTGAAAGCTGAGACCCAGGTAAGGTGGAAAAATGCCAGAAAGGAAAACTCAAATTTTATTTTCCACTAAAAGCAGCAAGAGAAAAGTGGTAAGACTTCAGCCCGTCAAGGCAGAAAACTATGAGACCCAGAAAAACAAGGCAGTCTCATTGAGTTCTGGCTTTCAGAGGTTTCACTATATATACAGAATGAAAGTGAAAAATAGGACACAGTGAAACCTGTGAGAGCTGGAACACATCAGAACTGCCTTGGTTTTCTGAGTTTCCAAGCTTTCCACTTTTGAGAGGATACAGTCTTACCACTTTTCTGTCATTCTCTATTAAGAATCCTACCTCATAACCACCCAGAAAGTGTTTCATTTCAATTTTGTAAGATCTGAAAAGACCATTTTGTATGATTTACATGTTTATTCAAATTAATGTACAGTTATGTGCATACACCATTCAAACAAAGACATGGGTAAAATTCAGCTTTTAATAAAAACATCTAATGCCAACTGTTTGGTTTGTTTTGGTTTTTGATGAAATTATTGAAACAAATTTCTAAGTCTGTAGCTTTATCAAAAAACTCCTGGTCTCCTCTAACTTTTCCAAATTCCTTCAAAGCCTTTATATAGCTGGAAACTTGTGTCTGACTTAAAGGCTCAGGTTCTTCTAATGGAAGGTCTTCATCATCTTCATCATCATCATCTTTAGACTGCAAGTCCACAATTTCTTGCAGGTTGGTATCATCCATTTCTGTGGCAATTTCTTTGTCGATATCAATGTAAGATGCAGCACTGACCCTATTTTCCGAAACATCACTATACATGTCATTTATTGCATCCTGAATCTGCATGATGTTACTAGACTCAATAACTGTTTCGTTTTGTATACTATCACCATTGCCAAATAAAAAGCCACAGTTCTTAAAGCATTTTTTTACAGTTTCTTCCTTAATCATTCTGATTGATCGCTTAAGAAATGAAATTGCATCAAGGACATCGATTTTCTCTGAAATCTCCAATGCCATCTTGCACATCTCGATGTTGGCAATAACTTTCTGAAGTAACAGCTTCCTGTAGTTTACTTTAATATTTTGAATAATGCCATTATCCAGAGGTTGTAGCACTGATGTCATGAATGGTGGGAAAAAAATTAATTTAATATTGGACAGGGGCAATGATCGATGACAAGTAGCATTGTCAATGAACAGAAGAATGCTTCGGTTTTGTTTTTTCATGCTATTGTTGAGTTTATTTAAAAACTCTTCGTAAATCCTTCCTGTCATCCATGCATTTTTATTCCATTTCCATTCTATTGAAAGCTGATTAATTTTGATATTCTTGAAACACCGTGGTTTCTCACTCTTTCCAATTATCCATGGTTTCTCAAATGTTCCATCTGCAAATGTGGTCAAGAGGATAGTAAGCCGCTCTTTTGAAAACCGACCCTGCAAACATTTTTCCCCCTTCATTTTCAGGGTTCTATTGGGCATTGCCCTGTAAAATAGAGCAGTCTCATCAGCGTTTGCAATGTCTTTAGGATCATATCCTCTTATGATCTCTTTTAATTTTGTGAACCAGTTTTGAACGTCTTTGTCAACCTTGTTTGATTCCCCACAAGCTACCTTGCAAGTGATTCTGTGGTTTTTTTTGAAGCTCTGAAGCCACCCATTAGATGCTGAGAATCCATCAACTTTCAAAAGTTTCGCCGTTTCCTTTGCCTTTGCTTGCAGGATAGGTCCTGAAATGGGAATATTTTTGGCGGAGGCTTGAAGAAACCACTCGAAAACAGATTTGTTGATTTCTGCATAATTTCCATCCCTTACTTTCTTGACATTTACATTGGTGCTGCTCATATATTTTTCAATTATTTTATCCTTTTCTTTCATAATTGAGTAAATTTGGGTCTTGCCACACTTGAACTTAATTACAGCTTCCTTGACGGTCTTTTTCTCTTCAGTTATCATTTTGACAACGTCAAACTTTTCTTTCAGAGATAGATTTCTCACTTTCTTGACTGTGGCTGTGAAGGAATAAGTTTTTAAAAAAGGAAACAAAAGAGGAAGTAAGTTCTTATAAAAAAATTAAAGAATTTTATTCTTATCTTCTTGAAAATGTGAGTATCTCAACCAACAACAAGAAAAGTGAAAACTATCAACATCATATGATAAAGGAAGCATATTTCAGTAAAACACGTAAGACAAAAACCATATGAGAAGAGTATTTTTGCTTTTGTACACACATTGAATGTGTTAAGTGAGGAAATATTTCTCTACTATTTTGGGCAAAACAAGAAATCTTGAAGGAAAGAATTTCAAGGAAATGAAGAATTGGATTTTGAAAATTCTAACAACATGTATAAAAATTATAAATAGCTAAAGCAAAGACTTAAAGATAAGGAAAAGAGTGAAATCTCTCAAGACAAGGAAAAAAAATAGTGCTTTGCTAGATTTTAATGAAAATAAAGTAATTTATTAGTATCTCTTACCTTCTTCAAACTTACGGGTGTTGTTTTTCACTGGAAAAAATTTAGAGTTTTTTAAAAACAAAAAAACAAAAAACAAAGAAACCACTAACAAAAAAGGCAAAAATGTAAAGAACAGCCATACTCAGAGAACAGCAGTGATGCAAGGTATGCACTCAACACCCAGTAACAATGCAAAAAGAAAGTGGAAGACTGAACCTTCATCTCTGCCTCCTGTACTTCTTGGAACTATTTCCAGCTTTTGCATATGCAGTTCTTGTATCTGGGTTGAAATACTAACAATTTTCTGATTCTGTCCATGTCCTGAGGTTCCAGCTTTCAAGAATATTAGGCTAAAGTAATTGTTTTATTGGAAATATTTGAGTTTTCCTTCTTTGACAGGTTTCTGCCTTAAACAGGTTCAGGCTTTCACAGATTTTACTGTAGTTACCAGGTGGAGGGATTACACGTTTTTTTTTCAACTGCCTTTTGATTTTTTTCTAGTTTACCTATAATGTACTTAATGTTCTTGTATTAATAAAGTTGTACTACTTTTTAAGTATTAATAAAGTTCTTTTCAACAATGCAATGATTCTATGAAGGTGTCTATTGTAGTTATGAGTCTTGAGACATAACTTGGCAGTAATTCCTCTACAGAATGTAAAACCAGTCATCAGAAATGAAATAAAAACCAATAGGATACAGCCTCTCTGGTCATTAAATACACTAAAGACACTCTTTCACCATTTCCTTCAGATGGACAAAAACCCTGTCTATCCTGTCTTCCACATCTGGAAACCAATAACCAAATGAATTTGCCAGAGAAAATAAAGAACAAAGCTACCCTGGGAAAATTCTTACCAAGCTAGCAAGACTCTTCTAACTAAAACAAAAACAAAACAAAAAAAGAAATAAAAGATCTTTAATAGTCATGAATTTTATATGTCCATTTTTTCTCTTAGAAATCATCAGAAGAAAGAATATTCTGCCATCTGATTTTAATCACCACCATCAATTCAGCACTAACTCAGAAGGAACAGCACCACCTACTGATTCACTACCGTATCAGAGAATCATTACTAAGGTCACTCTCCAACTACCAGAAACCACACCAGTACCTAAAAATAGGTACACCTATCCCTAAAACCTTTTTTCATTCTCTCACCCTTATAGCCCAGGAATAATTTCCCAATAATCTCACTTACCATTGTTGTTGGCAATTAGTGTGACAAGAGTCTTCTTGGCACTGTCGCTGTTCTGTGCCCCGCTGCTACTAACGGTGGTGGATGTAGAGAGGTGCCCAGCAACAGAAGCATGGGCAGCGATGGGCACTGGAGCCGAGACTGGCTGCTGGCTCACAGAAACTGTGGGGAAGGGGAGGCACAGTCACTTGGGAGACAGGGACAGATGACACTAAAGGATACTGCTCTAACCTTCAATTTCCATCTTGTGAGTCTCTTTAGCCAAGTTCCCTGTTTTACTTGTAAATCTGACTGTTCATCTGGTTTCTCCTCCTACTTGTCCCTCACTCTACCATTTAGACACAACTCCTTCTTTGTCTCACATTTCGTGGTTAAGTTAAATCACGAGACCACTGAACCAGGTTTTAATGTTTTGGTTATATAGCACTAGCAAACCTCTACAAATCAAAAGTTTATTAACATCACCACAACTGGTATTCATAACCATACAATGAAGCCATCCAAAGACCCTGAACTGTGTCCTGTTTGAGCCTAAACCAATGCCATCTTCAGGTCTCAAGGCAAAGAAGATAAATATAAAAAGAGCAGCTCGTACAATTTGGTGGAGAGGCTACCACCCAGGGAAATCTAGATTTTGACGTGGCAACATCACCTTTAAGAAAGAGATGCTAACAAGCCTAAATTTGTAAACTGTCCATGAAGACAAACACAAAGCAATTTCTGTTCAGCTCACGGAAGAAGCCAAGTTCAAGTGGAAAAAAAAAAAAAGACTATAGGAATCCGTTTTTTTGACTAGGTACCTAAATAAATGAGTACTGACACACACCATCACTTTACATTGTTGCTCATACATCCAAGAGTACTGCTAGATGTTTGATAAACATTGGTTAAGAACCTTTAATGTTTTTAATGAGTTAAATACAATGTTTCTAGTTTTGTGGATAAGGAAACTGAGGCATTTACAGGCTATAGCATGGAAAAGAAGGCAGCACCAGTGCTACAATGAGACATCCTTTAATTTTTCTTTTATATCATGAAATATTTATTAGTGTTGTACATGGTTCTCTGTGCCCTGGATTCTAAAAGTCCTTCTCCACCTCATACTTTCTTAACCAAAAAGCCATTCAGATCAATTTAAACATGGGATAGGTTTACAACAAGATCAAAAGAGCTTTTGTTACCTGTAGTAGTTTTATCCACTGAATTATAATCTTCAACTACAGAGTCCTCAATGACATCACTGATCTTCTGCCATGGTTCCAGCTCCTCCTCCTCACATTCCATAAACAGGTCGGTGTCCGCCATGCTACAAGAAAAGAAAAATTACATAAGATGTTGATCTAGAAAAGAGAGAAACAGTTTTGTGCAAAATAGGGAATCATATACTTGAATCCATTGGTAATCTACCCCTTTTTTCCTCCTTCATCCCACACCTAACAAGTTCACTTTTCCCTCCCCTAATTTTCAGGGGTCTGAAATTACAACTTTTATTCTTGAATATTAGAAGTCCTTCCATAAAAAAAGTTTCAATTGATATTGTTGTTGTTGTTGTTGTTTGCCGTCGAGTCGGCCCCGACTCATAGCGACCCCTCCTTGGGTTTCCGAGGCAGTATCACTACGGAAGTAGGATTGTCCAACCTTCCTTCCGAGGAGTGGCTGGTGGGTTTGAACCGCCAGCCTTCAGGTGAGCAGTCAAGTGCCTTAGGCACTATGCTACCCGAGCTCCTATGAAAGACTAATTTATAATACGTAGGGCTGTGATTAGGGCCTGATGAGTGAGGTGAATCATGCAATTTCAAGGTCAGATCCTACTGATGCAAAATGGATATTTTGTTCATCACGATTTCTTCTGTATTAACATTTATCTTTTTTAAAATGCTGCATGAGAATAATCTGTATCTTGATTACTTAAGGCTTTTTACTCTCCTGAAATGAGTGCCTCACCAGTCACGCCCTAATACCAGCCGACTACTACCCTGTACTTCTACTCTAAAAAATTCTAGATACTCCTTGATTTTAGAGTCTTCCTTTAATTTGAAAATATTACCTCAATTACATACTTATTTTAAAACTAAAGTCTACATCTTTGCAAATGTAAATAAAGAACTACTGACATTCTGTCTTCCAGTATTAGTTGACTATGGGTCAGATTCGTTGTCTTAGAACAGTAGTGGCATTACTGCTCAATGGTCAAAGATTTTAATGCAAAGGCCCTCAGTGGCTCAGTAATTTTTTTTTATGATGCTCTTACCACAAACAAACAAAAACATGTTCTGTTTATTAAGTAGTTTACCAAAAAAACACACACCCTTGCTGTTGTGTTTCAACTCATAGTAACCCTTATGGGACAGAGAAGAACTGCCCCACAGGGTTTCCAACACTGGAATCTGTACTAAAGCAGATTGCCTCATCTCTTTTCTGCAGAGCTCTCACATTAAATAGTTAGGGTCACACAACGTGATGATAGTAGTTTGTATGATGTCCAACAGATGGTGCTGTTTTCCCCTGAAAATTTAAAATACGCTGCAGTGCCCCAGTGAGTTAGCGACAGCCAGGAGCAGTTTGGGAACCAGTTTTAATGAATAAATTGTTTAACTTGATTCCAAGTGCTCTCTAATCTTCCACTTTATTATTTCTGTCTTTCCAAACCAAAACCACAAAAAGGAAGGAGGAGTAAGTAATGCAAAAGACTGAACGCAGCGACTTAAATTCTTAATTTCGTATTTAATTTCTATATGCACAAAACAGTGGGAGCTCTGGTAGCATAGTGGCTAAGACACTTGCCTGCTAACCAGACGGCTGGCGGTTCAAACCCACCAGCCACTCCCCGGAAGGAAGGTTGGGCAATCCTACTTCCGTAGTGATACTGCCTCGGAAACCCAAGGAGGGGTCGCTATGAGTCGGGGCCGACTCGACGGCACATAACAACAACAACAACAACATGCACAAAACAAAGCTAGCCAGAAATTGGATTTTTTTAAAAAAGAAATCAACATCACAGGCATTCTTCTAGCCAAAAACCACTAAACACATCCTTGAATTCTGTTACGTTTTATTTTGTGAAACAAATTTTAACAAGAATACTGAAAGTATCTTCAATCTAACTATAAAAGTCAAATTACGTTATTTTTCCCACAAAAAAAAAACTGTAAAAAGTGGAGAGAAATGAAAAAGGCATTTCTGAAAAGATCACAAAGATTTATGTCCTAACTACCTTTTATCAAGTAAGAATAATAAGTCTTCTAGAGTATAAATTCTGCCAAGACCAAACCAAACTCTTTGCAATCAAGTAGATTCCTACTCATAGCAAACCCCACTGAGTTTTCAAGGATGTAAATCTTTATGGAAGCAAATCACCTCATCTTTCTTCCGTGGAGCAGCTGGTGGGTTTAGCCACCTACTTTTTGGTTAGCAGTCCAATGCTTTAACCACAGCACCACCAGAGTTCCCTTTCTGTCAACATAACCAGTGAAAACTGAAAGACACAGAATAGCAAAGAAATCCAACTCAACAGAAAGCCCTCATGTTTTTACAGTGATAATAAGGCTTGTCAACCCCAAAAAACAAAAGGGCTGCCACTCGGTGTATTTTCTAGACTTACACCCAAAACAAATGCCAAAATAATAAAATGTCAATTATAAATATTTTGAAATTCTTAACTTGGAAGATGAGCCGCTCTGGGGGAATAAGGGCAAATAAACTTCTTATGGACAGACTGTGTACTACACTGAAATCTGCCCAAGTTAATTTTTACTTTGTGTAGATTCATTTGTTTTATTTATTTTTCCCAGTGAAAAATGTATTTGGATAGGAATTTTTCATTTTAAAAATACACTGAGTTACCAAAATACCACGTATTTTGTTTATTCCTAAAACATAAAATTAAAATGTACATACGACATTACCTATGTTAAGAATACTCAGTGCTCAGTTTTGAAAGAGAAGGCAAAAAATAGATGATGATGAAGAATACACATTTTAAAAAAGCTAGTACATTTTGTTACACATTAGAAATTTGGATGAAAACTTAATTGTATTTATTAAAATTGAGATAATTTTTTCCATTTACTCTCTTATATGTAAATATGTGTGATGTGCTGTTGTGCTTGTATTGACCTCAGTCTCACCCCGAGTATTAGGCTTAATATGTTCTAGTCATTTATCTCCCAGTATTGTAAATATATGTAGTTGCAAACAGCACTGGGAATTGTATCTATGTAAAGACTTTCACCTAGTTGTGTGAGCTTCACCAACTCTTATCTACTGAAATGACAGAAGTGATCCACTGATCTCGAGATACTCCTTTCAGCTCAATTTCAGAACAATTTACGTGGTTCTGTTCAGTATCTTCAAATCTACCTTCTGAGGCGTGTGTTTGTTTGGACCAGTATGCCTTGCTTTTTTTTTTTTTTTTAATATTCTGCATTTTGCATGCTTGCCGACTCAGTATTTATAAATTAAAACTTTTTTAATGGTCCGACTATCATGCTGATTTTCACTGAGATCATATGGTTTTGTCAGTACTCTTATGAATCTTAAGCTTACCCTTTAAAGTAATTGAGATGATCTGCTTGTCTTTGGCCGGGGTGGGGTGGGGACAAAAGTTTGCTCCCCTTTGCTTTTATCTTCACTGTACCTCCTTAATCCTACTTCAGGTTGGTTCATTTCTCTTGAATGCTGAGAGTAAGGTGTGTAACCTAGTGACTGAAGACTTGAAAACAATGAATTTAGTGGGATCTGTTATTTTCAAATGTTGACAAGTTACCTGCAGTCACCGACTGGGTTTCAGAACTGAGTTATCATAAGGATCCTTTGCATTTAGTGGCATCTGGTGAACTAAGCATTTCCCATCGTACAAATTGGCTTTATTTTGTCTAAAAATCTGAAGAGACTTTAAAGATTTTTCCTATGTACTTGGCTCTTCATTTCAGTTTACTTAGAAACTTTCTTAACCTAGAATTTCTTGGTGGTGGTTATGTAATAGTCAAAGAAGTTTGTAATATAGTTAGTTGTAAGTTCTGTCTCTTAATTAGCTGTACAGCCTTGAGCAAGTCATGGTACATGTCTGAATTTACCTCTACTATTCTCACTTAAAGAAGCTCTGGTGGTGTAGTAGGCTGGCAGTTCAAACCCACCAGCCAGGCCTCAGAAGGAAGATTGAGCGGTCTACTTGCACCAGTGATACTGCCTTGGAAACCCAAGGAGGGGTCACTGAGTTAGATCCAACTCAACAGGAGTGAGCTTGGTTTTCGGTGGTGTAGTAGGTAAGGCATTTGGCTGCTGACCGAACTCAACAGCTGTTCCACTGGAGGAAGATGAAGCTATCTACTCTCATAAAGATTTGGAGTCTTGGAAACACAATGGGAGTCGCTGTGAGTCAGAACAACTCGGTGGCATTGGCTTTTGTTTGTTTGTTTGTTTGTTTATTCTCTTTTATAAATGAGGTTAGGTGACTCAAACATTAAGACTTTTTACTCAGGTACCTTCTAGGTTTGTGATTCTGAACCCTTAAACAGTGTGCTTTTTGGGGAGTCATGACCAGTACAAACATGATGGTTAGATCAAATCAGTGTATTGGTGATTGGTCAGTAATTCTCCAAGCAGCTAAGAAACAGTCTTCTGTCTTGCAATAGTCTGGGTATAGATAAGAGAGGGAGAACAGCAGTAGACAGAGAGCTTGGTAAGAAAAGAATGAGCTCAGAAAAACGAAGGACTAGTTGAAAGAGTAGGAGCTCTGGTAGCATAGTGCCTAAGGCATTTGACTGCTAACCAGAAGGCTGGCGGTTCAAACCCACGAGCCACTCCTCAGAAGGAAGAGGGGGCAATCTACTTACATAGTGATACTGCCTCAGAAACCTAAGGAGGGGTCGTTATGAGTCAGGTCCAACTCAACGGCACATAACACCACCACCCAAAACATCTCCAAAAGATGTTGAAACCAAGTTTTCAAACACTTAGTCCTCCATTCTGACCTACACTCTTTCTCAGATGTGATCATTCCTTTCACTTCAGCATCTGTAGCTCAAGGTCAAAAAACTAATTCTATGGAAAAGATGAGCTATTTCACAATAAACCAAAATTAAAACCACTGTCACTGAGTCAATTCCAACTCACACTGATCTCCATGGGGTTTCTGAAGCAGTAAATCTTTATGGAAGTAGACTGTCCCATCTTCCTTCCTTGGAGTGGCTGGTGGGTTTAAACTGCCAACCTTCTGGCTAGCAGTCAAATGCCTAGGTATTACGCCACCAGAGTTCATTACAACAGAGATAACATTACAACAGGGATAAATTAAATACTTGGTAAACTT